TTTCTTTATCAAGTAGACCTCAATTCAGTGCAGCAATGTGACAAATGTATGAAATTCCTACTGCCTGCCGGGTGCTGTGCAGACGCTGATGGACGACGAACACACCTGCCCCCGAGCCCAGGGTGTTTAATCAACCACAACAGTTCATCCTCAGAAGGCTGCGTAGCAGAGAGCTCATGGTGATGATTTTTTACAGTGTAGTACTGGTGTTTCTGAAAGAAGAAAACCAGAAAATGTGAAATTTGTCCTTTATTGAATATAGTACTTACATCCATGATAATACTCTTTAAATTTACAGCATAGGGGATCCCTGGGGGGCTCAGCGGTTTAGCGCCTGCCTTCGACCCACGGCGTGATCCGCGGTCTTGGGACTGAGTCCCGCATGGGGCTCCCGGCAGGGAGCCTGCTTCTCCCTCTGCCTGTGTCTCTGCCTCTCTCTGTGTGTGTCTCTCATGAATAAATAAAAAAATAAAAGCTTTTAAAAAAAGATTTTATTTTTAAAAAATAATAAAAAATAAAATATTTATTCATGAGAGAGGAGAGAGAGAGAGAGCACTAAACCGCTGAGCCACCCAGGGATCCCCAAATAAAATCTTTTTTAAAAAAGAAAAGTATAAATGGAAGTCTCTGCAGCTGAGGAGATAGGACCTAACATCACAGAAACTAAGTAACCACGAAAGGAAGGCAGCAAGAAACATCACCAGCCCATCAGTTACTAAATGTCCAACAACTGTTACACACAGGTTACAACATCCTGGGGCCAGGAGCCCTGCACCTCATGAGTTTGAACCACGTAGGTCCGCTTACAGGTGGATATTTTCCCCCATACAATGTAGTAGCAATGTTTTTTGTTTTTTGGGGTTTTTTTTTAGATTTTATTTTTATTTATACTTGAGAGACACACACAGAGAGGCAGAGACACGGGCAGAGGGAGAAGCCGGCTCCCTGTGGGGAGCCCGCCACGGGACTCGATCCCGGAACCCCGGGGTCACGCCCTGAGCCGAAGGCAGAGGCTCCACTGCTGAGCCACCCAAGCGTCCCACCAACTTGTTTTCTCTTATGATTTCACCAGTTTTTTAGTCTTGCTTATTTTCTTGGTGAGAATACAGTACATAAAACATTTAACGTACAACATATTGTTAATCAACTGCTATTGGTAAGGCTTCCAAGCAACACTGGGCTAGTAGTACGGTTTCCAGGGAGTCACGTCGTACCCAGTACTGGCTGTGCTGGGAGCTGTGCCCTGGCCTTCGAGTTGTTCAGGTGCCCAGTGTGTGTACGACGTCAGGAGGCGACTGGATTGGTGGGTGACGCCGCTCGGGAGCAGTGGGAGGACGAGGCCATGTGGGCGAGAGCTGGCCACGGGGGTCTCTGCGGGACGTGGCCTCTGCTGGGTGTGGCGCTCTCCCGGGGACGGTGTTGCAGGTCGGGGAGAAATGCTGAGGCGTGGGGCATATCCTTAGGGCACAGGCCTTCCAAGCGCAGGGTGCTCGCGTTTGTTAAATGAGACCACTGCAGAGCTGGATGGTCTCTGAATTTTTGTCTCTTAGGAGCTACGGCAATTCACGATTGCAACGTACCAAGCACCCCTTGTCGCCGTGAGCGGCCCGTAGGGGCGGCCTTCCTCTCGGCTCTCCAGGGAGGTGGTGGAGGGCCCGCAAGGCTGTGCCCCCCGTGGCCCAGGGGATCCGGGGCGAGCGGCCTCCCTGTCCCCCGCCACCCGGGGATCTGGGGCGAGCCTGCCTCTCTGTGCCCGCCGCGGCCCAGGGTGATGCGCCGGCCGCGGAGCATCTGTCAGGTGCACGTGGGGCACGAGGACGGCCTGAGTCAGGATCCACGAGTCCTTTCAGCACCTGGCACGCCGCACACACTCACACTTCTGATGGCACCTCGTCCAGCCGAGCCTGCCCGATGGTAACTCGGGACGGGCCAGGCCTCCTTTGCTGCCCTTTCCTTCTGGACTTCTCTGCTGGCTCCTTCGAGTAACTACATAGTGTTAACATCTTGAACTGCATCTGTGGGTTCTTCTCTCATTTCGGTTCTGTCAAGTTTTGCTTTGAACACTCGGAAGTTATGTTGCTTCTGTTTTTTTTTTTTTTTCTAGATTTCATCTAAGTCATCTCCACACCCGGTGTGGGGATCCGAGCCCACAACCTCGACATCCAGAGCCACACACTCCGCTGACGGAGCCCGCGGGCACCCTGGGAGTTCGGTTCTGACACGCGCTTGGGATTTTTGCACGTTCCTGCTGAGCTGACCCTGTCCCTTAACGGTCCCGACAGGGGGTGGCCTCGTCTCATGTCGGTGTCACCAGCAATCACAGGATGTGTGTCTGGGTGATGCTTCTTGTTCCATCCTCGTACCTTTGGTTTGTCTTGGTCTTTAGATCGAAAGCGTGTTTTGTGAAGTCATCATTCAAAGTTTCTGGCTTCTAATTGCAGTGGTCCAGGCATTTACATTTAATATGATTGACCCAGTTGGGTTTAAAGCCACTACCTTGCTCTGTATTTGTTGCGTCTATTCTTTCTTGCTCGCTATTGGACTATTCATAATTCTATTGGTCTCCTCTATTGTATTTTTAATATGTAGCTATTACAGGACCTCATATGTAATATATACATTTATACTTGCGGCTGAGCTGGGAATTACAGTTCACTTTGAAATCATACAGCGTTCGATCGACCATGCAACAGTGAAATAACACCGACCTGCCTCCTAACCTTTTGTTCTCCTGCGACCTTTTTATTTCTGAGGGTTGCATTGCCTGCCCTGGTAGCCAGTAGCCACCCGTGGCCAGCTAAACGTCAAGTTACATCAGTTATAACCAAGTACAACTCTGCAGTTCAGCTCCTCATTCACGCCAGCCACACTGGAAGCGCACGCGAGGCCTCTGCGGCGGCGGCTCCTGTACGGGACGTGTCCTGGTGTGGCTCAGAACTGCACACCATTGCTCTAAAACCCACAACACGTGACTTTACAATCTGCTTTGAGCAGCCATCGGATAATCTTTTCAAGAAATTATTTTGAATGTCTCTTTTTTAAAAGACTTTAAAATTTTTATTTATGAGAGAGAGAGAAAGAGACACAGAGAGAGAGGCAGAGACAGGCTCCATGCAGAGAGCCTGATGTGGGACTCGACCCCGGGACTCCAGGATTACGCCCTGGGCCGAAGGCAGGCGCCAAACCGCTCAGCCACCCAGGGATCCCTTGAATGTCTCATAGAGTCACCCGTGTCATCCTGTTCAGGTGTCCTTCATTCCTTAGGGCAGATCTGGGATTCCATGGGGGTCGCTTTCCTCAGGCCTGAAGAACGTCAGTATTTTTCTGAAGGCCAGGTCTTCTGGTGACAGTGTTCAGTGTTTATCTGAAATGTCTTCTTTTTTTTTTTAAGATTTTATCTATATATTTGAGAGAGAGCAAGCGGGCACGAGGGAGGGCAGAGGGGGAGGGAGAAGCAGGCTCCCGCTGAGCAGGGACCCCCATGTAGGACTCGACCCCAGGACCCTGAGGTCATGATCTGAACCGAAGGCAGATGCTTCACCCACTGAGCCACCCAGGTGCCCCTGAAATGCCTTTTACTACAGATGTTAAAATTTAAATACATCCTTAATTTTTGAAGGATATTTTTGTTAGGTATTGAGTACTAGTCCCAAGGACCGTGTGACCGCTAGCATTTTGCAGGTGCCATCTGTTGGTTTCCGGGGCCCGCTGCTTTTGAGAAGTCATTCTCAATGAAGTTTCCCTGAACGTAACGAGTCTCTTAAATATTTGTCCCCTTTTAGGGATACCTGGGTGGTGCAGCCGGTTGAGCATCCAAATCCTGGTTTCAGCTCAGGTCATCACCTCAGGTTGTGAACTCCGGCGGCCTTGAGATTGAGCCCCACGTGCTGCTTCACACTCAGCAGGGGTCCTGCTTGGGATTTTCCCTCTCCCTGCCCTCTGCCCTCCCCCATGTGCTCTCTCTCTATAATAAATAAAACTTTAAAAAATATTTTTTCTCCTTTTAGGACTTTTTAAAAATAATTTTTAAAAATATTTTATTCATTTATTCATGAGACAGAGATAGACAGAGAGAGAGGCAGAGACACAGGCAGAGGGAGAAGCAGGCTCCGTGCAGGGAGCGGGACGTGGGAATTGATCCCAGGACCCCAGGGTCACGCCCTGAGCCAAAGGCAGATGCTCAACCACGGAGTCACCAGGCTGCCCTCCTTTGACGACTTTTATTTTTACCTTTGGAAGTTGGACCGTGATATGCCTCCAAGTGTTTTTTGTTGAATTTGTCCTCGTTGGGGTTTGCTAAATTTTCTGGATTTGTAGGTCAGTGTACTCTTACAAATTTGTAAAATTCTTACACATTCTCTTTTCAAATATTTCTACTGCTCCAATTTCTTTTCCCTTCCTTCTAGACATCCAACTTCACACACACTGGACCGTTTGATCTTGTCCCATAGGTCTCTAATATTCCTTTCTGTTATCTTTTTTCTCGTCCTATTTTTTTTTTCTGTTTTCAGATGATTTCTACTGACGGAACTTTGAGTTGAAAAATCCTCTTTAGTGTGTCCATTCTGGTGTTCAGAAAATTTAATGAGCTCTTCATTTGAAATATTTTGCTTTATCTTTACTCCTGGTGTGTAGCCCTTATTCCTAGGGCGTGGTGTTGGTGGTGTTTCAGTGCTGCCTTGGCTGCACCAAGACCCAGCGTCTCCCAGTCCCACAAGGTTTCAACCCTCACGTACCACCTGCAACTAGAAGAGGGTCAAAGAACAGTGTGAGGTCACTCTAATGAAACTTCTAGTTATGTTTACTAATGTGCATACAGTTATGAAAAATAGGGAATACTGGTTCTGTGCCCTGCCTCACTCCAGCAATTCTCATCACCGGATATATGAACTAGGTGTTGAGGGAGGAAAAAAGCCCTGGACTAGGTGTTGGGGGGGGGGGAAGCCCTGGAAAAAAGCCCATATTATTAAGAGATAAATCTCCAATATACTCGTTTTTAGTCTTCTTTTTTTTTAGATTTTGTTTATTCATGAGAGACAGAAAGAGACAGAGAGGCAGAGGCAGAGGGAGAAGCAGGCTCCATGCAGGGAGCCCGATGTGAGACTGGATCCCAGATCCCGGGATCACGTCCGGAGCTGAAGGCAGACGCTCAACCACTGAGCCACCCGGGCGTCCCTCGTTTTTAGTCTTTTTTTTTTTTTTAAAGCAGATTTAAATTTTTTTTAAATTTTTTTATTTATTTATGATAGTCACAGAGAGAGAGAGAGAGGCAGAGGCACAGGCAGAGGGAGAAGCAGGCTCCGTGCACCGGGAGCCCGACGTGGGATTCGATCCCGGGTCTCCAGGATCGCGCCCTGGGCCAAAGGCAGGCGCCAAACCGCTGCGCCACCCAGGGATCCCTCGTTTTTAGTCTTGATCAAAACCGACATATACACCGATATTGCTCCCATCCATTGCGTGGACAATAGTCGTGGTCTCAGCACCTGCCGCTCTTCGGCGTCCGCACTTACTCCAGGTGTGCGCCTGCGTAAGCATCTGCTCTCTTCTCCCCCTGCGTCTGGACTAGCCTGGATGCTCGGCGCACACCTGAATGGAAGAACAAGTCTTGGTAAGGCTGGGTCCGTGTGTGCCTTGCACATCCCTGCCTTCGGGTCCCCGACGCAGGGAGCAGCGGCTGCCTGCCTCGCGGGCGTCTTCCGTGCCGCCTGCGCCCCGCGCCGAGCCGTCGGGTCCTCCTCCTCGCACGCAGGCCGATGGCTCCGAGCTGCCGGTGGGCTCGCGGCTCCGTGCAGCCTCTGACCTGGCGCCCTGAGTGTCCCCGCACCTGGGGGGGGGGGTTCTCAGGACCGTGTGACCCCTACCATTGCTGCTCCGCATGACCCGGCATGACCCGGCTTTCCGTCGAGGGGCGTGTGACCACGTGCAAGGACGCCGCGGACACGCATCCGTGCGAGGCTCCAGCACCTCCCCGTCGCGGGCCTGTGCGCGGCTGCGAACCGCACGTCGGGGGAGGCCGGCGGGGCCCGCGGCGGGCAGGCCGCCTGCCTGGGCCTGCGGGTGCTGCGCCTTGTTTCCTGAAGGACGCGCTTTTCCAGCGACCCGCACCCCGACTGCGGGGCTTGACCTCCAGCGGCCGGCCAGGCGCCCCCGCAGCTCGCCCGCGAACCCGAGGCTCCCGCTGGCCGCTTCCACACTCCGACCGCGTGTACTGAGCCGTGGGCGCGGACCCGCGGGGGCAAGTCGGCGCTCCGCCGGGGGGGGGGGGCCGCGGTGCCACCCGCGGGCGCTCGGGCAGCTCCGTGTGCCGGGAGCCCCCCCCTCCCCGCCCCCGCGCGCCACCCGGGCCGCCGCCCCGCCGCGACCTCGACCTCGACCCGCGCGGCCAGCCCCCCGCAGCCCCGCGCCGGCCGCGCTCCGCCCCGGGTTTTCCAGGCCGCTGGGGCCGCGCCTGCGCCGTGCGCCGCGGAGGACGTGCGGGCTCCCGGGCGGCGTGCGTGCCCATTGGCCGGCCGCGGTAGCCCCACCGCTGCGCGCGCGCCCATTGGCCAGCGCGGCCGTCCGTCCGCGGCGCCCGCCGGCTCGCGGCGCGCCGCGCGTGTCCCGCCCCTCGCCGCCGCTCGTCGCTCGCCGGCCGGCGGCCTCGCGCGGCCCTCAGCTCCGTGGCGGCGGCGGCGGCGGCGGCGGAAGGCGGCCCGGGCCCTCGCAGGCCCATGGCGGCGGCCGCGGCGCTCCCGGGCGCGGGCGGGCCTCCCGCGGGCGGCGGGGCCGGGGGCGGCGGGGGCGCGGGCGGCGGGTCCCCGCCGGGCGGCTGGGCCGTGGCGCGCCTCGAGGGCCGCGAGTTCGAGTACCTGATGAAGAAGCGCTCGGTGACCATCGGGCGCAACTCGTCGCAGGGCTCGGTGGACGTGAGCATGGGCCACTCGAGCTTCATCTCGCGGCGCCACCTCGAGATCTTCACGCCCCCGGGCGGCGGCGGCCATGGCGGGGCGGCCCCGGAGCCGTCGGCGCAGCCGGGGCCCGACGCGGGCGGCGACTTCTACCTGCGCTGCCTCGGCAAGAACGGCGTGTTCGTGGACGGCGTGTTCCAGAGGCGCGGGGCGCCGCCGCTGCAGCTGCCGCGCGTGTGAGTGGGCCCGGGCCGCAGCGCCCCCCGTGACCCCCGTGACCCCCGTGACCCCCCCACGACCCCGCACGTGGGCCGGCGCGCCCTCCCGGGACCCCCGCCTGGTTGGCCGCGCCCCCGTGCGCGCCCCGGCCGCGACCCGAAACCTCCGTTTTCTTGACTCAGAATCTGAATCCCCCCGATGGCCGCCCGGAGACTTCCTTTCCGCGCTGAGGTGCCTGAGGAGACAGATGTGTTCTGGGCCGCAGGGACTCCCCTGCCGCCGTGGGTGTGGCGGCCCCACACGTCGCAGACGCCTCCCGACACGCTCTGGAGTCTGCACCTTGAAATTGGGGGAAAACTGGGCACTTCCCAGCACGACTCTGCTTTTCAGGCCGTCGAGGAGCTGGGACCTGTTAGGAGGGGGCGCGGCCGTTAGGGGGGCTTCCCCGGGGGCAGTCGGGTCGCGGCCCGGCCATTCCGCTGGCGCCTCTGGTTCCGTGAAGTTACCGTTTACTTTGTTTGCAAAACAAAACAAAAACAAAAACAAAAACAAAAAAACAACCGAGGCTGCTGTCGAGGAAATGAAATGCTAATTTTACTCCTCAGGGGCTGCTTTCTAGATGGTTGCAAATGCGGCCTTTGTCCACAGACACGTTTTTAACCGCTTTCAGTTTCTGGGGATGCTGATAAGAGCTGTTGCTTTTCCCTAATTCCCTGATTCTTGTCCGTGGCGGGCTGTGCTCCGGTGCTCGGGCGGCCGGAAAGCTGCGGGCCCGCTGAGGCCTGGCCGGGCGGGTGGCAGGGCCGCGGGGTGTGCGCCGCAGCCGCTGTGGGACCCCACACTTGGTCGTTGACAGACAACTTGGTGTCGCGGCAAAGGATTCTGTGTCTTTGCTCTGAGGGTCTTGAAGTTCTTAGGGGAACTTCTCTGATTGTCATGGGCCAGGCCTGTCCGTGTTGACACGCTAAGGACGCGAGGTTGGCTGCTGGCGAGGGAGCAGAAATCAGACCCCCTCTGAGGGGTACGGTGAGCCCTGAAGAAGGGCTGAGCATCGGGCAGAGCCGCTGGGAAGGTCTGGGGCTGCCAAGGCTTCCACGAGCCCTGCGCTTCTTAGGGACCCAGGGATTCTTGTTCACAGAAGGATCTTGACATTGTTGGAGCGTGAAGCGCGTGGGTAACTGGTAGGACTTTGGAGCACCTCTCTTTCCTGCATGTCTGCTGTAGAGGGGTTAACAGATACAGGTGCATGAAAGAGACGGTGAAAAGACAGTGGGTACTAGTAAAACGTAGACAAGAAACGTCTTAAAAATCTCCTCCTTGAAACTAAAGTTGGTTTTACAAGTTCTTTCTAAGTTTAAAAAGTCAAGTCGCCTAAGTTTAAAAGCATGTGTGTGATTTAGAGCCGTGATGCAGATTTGTCCGCCGAATTGAAAATCCCCATACAAGTTTTAAAAAGGCGCGATCCATGGTTGGTCTCTGATTCGAGTGACAGTGATTTTTAAGTCCAATTCCGATTTTAGAGAGAATTTGTAGTTTGTATTTGCTAGAAATTTACATGCAGAAAACTTGCAAAGTGCATAAGTAGTTTGGGCTTGAAGTACGGTTCAACGTTTTATTAGAATACCAACTGTACTAATTTAAGGGGAAGAGAGAAAGATGAGGATCACGATCCTGTGTGTTGGGTGTTGTGTTTTAAACAGTTGGGGTAAGGTCTGAATACAAATGGTTTCTCCATGATGATTGGTGGGCCCAGCTGGAGTCCTCAAGTGTGTGAGCATGCACATGACTGCCAGGGTGTGTGGTTTCCAGAAAACAGGTGATTTCCACAAATCCTTGATTTTCAGCCAAGTATGTGGGGCTGTGTGTACAGATATGTAAACTTTTTCCTCTTCAGAAGTGTCTAACTCACTGGAGGGGCAGGTGTTACTAGGACTGGGCGGGCAGTTCTCTGGGGTGGACTCAGTCGAAGAACCCTGGGCCACCTGTGTGTGTGTGTGTGTGTGCGCGCGCGCGCGCGTGGGGGTTGCTCCTAGGAGTGAGCAGGTGGACGCGGCCTCAGGGGTGTCCCTGGCCAGTAGCCTAGTGCTGAAGAAGGTGGGATCGAGCCTGGAAGGAACCTGGGGCCTGGTTGTGGAGTGTGAGGTTTGCCTGGGCCTGGGCGGGGAGGATAGTCAGTGTGGTCAGTGACAGAATGAAGAATGTCCTCTTTAAGGACAGGGTCCTTATTTTTCTAGGGTCTTGGTCTGGTGCCTGAGTGGGCAATAAAGTGTTTTAGGAAGATCTGCTGCACGGGAATGCCTGGCTGTGTTGTTGCTCTTGTTGTTGCCATGGAAGCAAACTAAGTATGATTTATAAATAAAAATAAGCAACTCTTTAACAGTTGTTCACATACTTTGAAATGTCAAGTAAGTTTGACATACTTTTGATCAGAAAGGCCCTAGACTATCTAATAAGCCAAACCAATGGAACACGTTGAATTTACTGTTGCTGCAAGCTGTTTAACACCTGAAACTGCATTTGTGTTTGTTTAGAAGAGTGACCCTGTTCCTGTGCTGGGTTAGCTGCCAATCACTCATGATACAGCCCTTCCTTCCTTCTTGTATGGCATGTTTTAACTTGCAGATTAAGTTTGGTAATGTCACATCTGAAGACTTTCTCATTAAATCAGAGATAGCATCCTCGAAGGTTGGGAACTGAAGAGAGGTGAGCAGAGAGTGGCTTCTGGAGCTTGCCAGGCGAAGACTCCAAGAAGAGAACTGAAGGGATTCACAGTGACTTGGTCCTGCTCAGAAATGGGCATGGGGCAGAACTGAGATTCCCAGAGAATACCAGTAACAGAGGGAAATAAGCAGAGTTCCAGGAGGGGAGATGGCCTCAGGAAAGGGCAGTGACTCAGATGTCACCAATGTCATGTTCCATGAGGAGCCATGGCCTTGGCAGTCAGGACCTCTTGGAGGATGAGGAATGAGGCTGGGTGTGGGGCTTGAGAATGAGGGGAAGTGAGAGTGTGAGAACTTTGTGAGGCAGGAGGCTGTTGTAAGGAGGATGGAGGTAAGAGTAGGCTTAGGAGGAGTGGAGACCCTGTGGGTCACCAGGGTGAAGGGGGTAAGGAACCCCTGAGAGACATGGCCGAGGCCTGGTTGGACGCAGAGTGGACACAGGCAAGGTGTGAAGGATGACAGGGTTCCCGGTAGAAGACCCAGTGGGGGATGTCTTGTTTGAAGACCAGAGTAGACTGCTAGTGAGGCCTGTTGTGTTTTCTTGTTCCAGGGCTGCAGGGTTGGTTGAGATGCCTTCCTTTTATGACCTGAGACTGACCAACTTGTATGCAAAGCTGAGAAAGGGACCCAAGGTTGCTGGTCTCCGGGACCCAGGCCTAGGTGATGGGTCGTGGCGTATGCATAGTAGAGGGGCAGAGGTGCTTTGCACTTTGAAAAGTGCCCAGTGTACGAATGAATTGCTTTTAATGACCACTGTGAGCTTTTCTTTAAAAGCTATAATATGTTTTCTTTCTTTTTTTTTTTTTTTAAACTTATTTATTTTTATGATAGAGAGAGAGAGAGAGGCAGAGACACAGGCAGAGGGAGAAGCAGGCTCCATGCACCGGGAGCCCGATATGGGATTCGATCCCGGGTCTCCAGGATCGCACCCTGGGCCAAAGGCAGGCGCCAAACCGCTGCACCACTCAGGGATCCCTATAATATGTTTTCATTTGCCAAATTGAGATACATTTTATCACTGATTTGTAGATATTGAGAACACAGGGCAGCTATTTTAACATAATTGTCTGTTTACTAAGTTAAAAATAACCCAACAACCGGGTTAACTTCCACGTCACTTAGTCTGTAGTAATTCTTTCAGTGGTAAAACTCTATCTATCTATTTTATTTTATTTTTTATTTTATTATTATTATTTTTAATTTATTTACGATAGTCATACAGAGAGAGAGAGAGAGAGGCAGAGACACAGGCAGAGGGAGAAGCAGGCTCCATGCACCGGGAGCCCGACGCAGGATTCGATCCCGGGTCTCCAGGATCGCGCCCTGGGCCAAAGGCAGGCGCCAAACCACTGCGCCACCCAAGGATCCCCTCTATTTCTTTTTTAAGATTTTATCCATTTATTCATGATAGACAGAGAGAGAGAGAGAGAGAGAGAGAGAGAGAGAGAGAGAGAGGCAGAGACACAGGCAGAGGGAGAAGCAGGCTCCACGCCGGGAGCCCAACGTGGGACTCGATCCTGGGTCTCCAGGACTGCGCCCCGGGCCAAAGGCAGGCGTTATACCGCTGAGCCACCCAGGGATCCCCAACTCAGTTTATTTTAATGTTTAATGAGTGGTTTAAGATGGTTTAGATTTAAAATAATTTCAATTTATAACATCTTTTGAGAAACAAGCCTGTGTGGGAGGACTTGTAACCTGCGGTGGTCATATGTGTACTGACTGTATCAGACGGTGAGGAGGGGCTCTGGAGCTGGACACCCTGCAGCTAGATTCCAGCCCTGCCACTTAACCTGTTTGAATATTTGTTCTCTCCTGTGTAACCTGGGATAACAACTGTCTGACATTGCATGATACAACTAGCCCCGTGTCAGTGTCCCTGCTACATTAGGGGCTTGCATGTGTTTTGTCCATCACCTGTCCTGGTGTGAAGGAGCCCATGAGGACTTAATGTGCCAGAAAATGTGTCACGAGGGCAGCAGTGTTCCCAAGGGCCAGTACTCTTTAGCTTGCCCGTAGCTCCATACACACGCACACATGCCTGCCGCAAATTGATCTAGGGCCTCTTGGAGTAAGTGAAGTTTGAAGTTCCTTTAGCTGGGAGAAGTTGGCCCCTTCCTCCTAGCACCTGAGCACAAAAACAGGTGGTGGGATGTGGTTGGTGTTGTCCAGCAGGCTGGGCCAGGAGAGGTCCATTGGTGGTGCCCTCCCTCCTGAAGCCTCTGTTCTGGTTCTGTTCCATTCCAAAATGTAAGCATCACCACAAACCTTTCCTGATTCAGGGGAAAAGGAAACATGCC